ACATGTGGGGTTTAATGCACTGCTTTATGGAGGCTTTCTCCATTTCCATTTGAGGAGTTAAAAGGCATTTCTTACTTTATTTATTTATTTATTTATTTATTTTCCGATTTATATCCTACCTTTTTCCTACAAAGGGCTCAAGACAGCTTACATCATTCTCCTCCTCCATCTTATCCCCACAACAACAACCCTGTGAGGTAGGTTGGGCTGAGAGTCTGTGACTGGCCCAAAGTCACCCTGTTGGTTCCATGGCTGAGCGGGGACTCGAACCCAGATCGTCTGAGTCCCAGTCCCATGCTCTTAACCACTACGCCACTGCTTGGCTCCCCCACCCCCAGGAGATGTATTTCTTTGTCTTTCCATATATTCTATTAATCAAATACAAGGTGGTGCACTGACAGAGCAGCAGTATAGCGGATCTGTAACTTCTCCTGTGGCTTTTGTACTAGAATGTTGAAGTTTATAATTTAATGCCAGACTTTCTTTGCTCTAACCCCTCCCTCCACACATGAATAGACAACACAGGAGAGGCCCTGGAGGAAGGCAGCATCATGGGAAAAGTCTCACATATTTCCATGAGTGACAAGCACAAAATAAATGCCTCATGCAGAGAAGCCCAAAATATCTAAGATGGTGCAGACTGAGGCTAACATGAACTTCTCGGGCTGGAGTGCTGAAGTTTTCTCCATCCAAGGTCCAAATTCTGTTCTGAGAAGTTCTTGTGGTGGACAAGGACAAAGGCTAAATGAGTGGGAGAAGTGGGTGGGATCAAAAATGCCTGGATATTTTAGCTTAAAGTTCTTATGGACAGTAATTGAGCCTTAGAGAAGGCATGCCAGGCTTCTAGGACAGGAGGAGAAAGCTGCATAAAAGCCAGGAAACCATGTTTGATGGAGGCGGACTTAGGGGAAATGGATATGACTAATAGAGAACCCCAAGAGGCCAGGTTGGGGTTTTAGGCCTCTTTTAAAGAAAGATTTTTTTAAAACTGAGGAGAGGGTGAAGGGGGCTGAAGCAAAGTGGAAGGAGGGAGAGAACAGAAGGCTAGCTCTGCATAGACTGGGCTGGGTATCATGTGGTCCTTGGTATGATTCAATGTTACCCTAACCAACCTACAGGCTTTCCACCTCCTTCGCCCTTAGGCCTAGTCACTGCTGGAATATGGCCCCAACATCATTCCCAGTTTCAAATTCAGCTTGTGGGCCACATGCTGTACATGCCTACCCTTTCCCCTTTACCTGCTTTGACTGTCTTCAGCTGGGCAATTATATTACAGGTGAAGGCAAAGCACATTAAACAGCAAATTTCTCCATATCGGTGGAAACATTGGAGCTGCAAGATCCCTGAACGCTGACTCTCTTAATCTAAAGGAAGTGTTAACAGAGTAGGCTTCACTCAGAGTCATAGTCAAAGGTGGTGGCTGATCTGTGTGGGCAGAAAAATTAAGTCACATTCTAATTCTGCTACTATGGCAGCAGGATACAGTGGGGATACCAGCACTGTCCCTGTGGGTTTGTTTTAACCCACTGAACTCTTATTTACTGAGGATGATTCATGAAGAGGAAGGAGAGTGGGCTGACTCATGGATCCCAGGCTGACTTTGCAGAAGGAGCAGACAGCAGGCCTTCCTTTTTTAATTATTAACTGAGAAAACTGATCTGGAAACCACCCGAAAATAATGAGCAGCATGGAACTTCTTAGCTAAGTTTAGCTGTAGTTCAAAGTATTTATTTCCCTTGGCTTCTGTTTCTCTCCTACCCTCCCTAGGAGGCTTTGCTTGATTTGCCTCACAAACCAACTGCATTACTTTTGTTATTCCATAAAAGCTTCATCCCACCCACTGGAGACAGATAGGAAGTAGCTTTAACATAATTTCAAAAATGTGATGCTGCCTGCAGCCTCCTGATAACTGATATGTATAGTCTGTGCAATCGTTTGACATCTTTGAAATGCTAATTCTCTGGCTTTATTTTGTTGGAGCTCTTATTATTCTTTCTGAGCTGTTATCTCAGTGATCAAAAGTCCATTTGGGCATATTGGTCTGGCATGAACTGTTCCTAATAGCCTCCCTGCACATTATGCCATCTATGTGAAGGCCAACGGAAATATGTTCTGCATGATAACTTCTCCATGCTGTGAGTGCAAAGCACACCTTGCCAGATGGATCTCCTGCTGCACTTAGAAGGCACCAGTGGAGTTTCCTGGCAGTTGCTGGAGACCCACCATCCCAAGCGGTGTGGCCTGAGATGCAGTATGTGATATGAGTGTTTTTGAACCAGTTAGAAGCAATGGCCACCGTGCCATCACACTGAATATGTGTTTAAGAGGAAGATTGCTCAGGAGGTCCAACACAGTCCAAATCTCCACTTCAAAAGCAGAGCTTTGGAGATATCTGGCCAAAAGGAAATTGAAAGAGGGAGACAAAAGGGTTGAGTCCTTTCAACGTGGTGATTATGGAAAGCCACAATAATAAAAGCTCAGACAGAATGGATAACACAGTTTAAGAAAGGTAGCCTGAAGTCCAAGAAATCAACATGGTTAATAAGAAAGGTCAAGGAAGCTATGGGGTGGAGAAGAGAGAGAAGACGGAAGTCATACAAAAATATGGAGAACAAAGGGAACAGTTTCCACAAGAGGGATGCAATCAGTCAATTAAGAAATGCAAAAAATCATTTGGAGGAGCATATCGCCAACAACTAATTTCCAGGCCAAAAATAATTTTTAAAAATCCTTTAAATATAGCAGAAGCAGGAAATTAGTTAAGGTTGTAGTCTGACCATTTGGCAACAACAAAATTAAAGGAATACTGAAGAAAGATAGAGGAACTGCAGAGAAGAAATCTCTTTTCACTGGAAAAGGTAAAAACAGATGCCTTTTTCTGTTTTCAGGAATAGAAGCGAAGAGTCATGACAAAAGATGAAGTTCTCAACATTGTTGACTGAATTGGATACCATCTGGGTCCAGTGATTTACTAAGCTGGAAATTAGTAAATCACTGAGCTCAGATAGTATCCATCCTAGAATTCTTAAAGAACTTAAACATGAAACTGCTCAACATCTTAAAAAATCTAACTTGTCTCCCTATACTGGAGGACTGAAGAACGGCCAATGTAAACTCGTTTTTAAAAAGGTACCTTGAATGTGTGTCTGGGGAATCAAAGGCTGCTTGGCTTATGTTTGTTTCAGGTAAACTGAAAGCTAGTGTGGTATGGAGCAGCTGTTGGGCTGGGGACCCAGGTGATCCAGGTTCTAATCCTCATTTGGCCATGAAACTTGCTGGGTGATTTTGGTCCAAAATCAAAGTTTGGGCCAACTCCCAGCCCAACCAACCACACAGGGTTGTTGTTGTAAGGATAAAATGGAGCTATTTAAGCCATCAGGAGTTCCTCACAAGAGGAAAAAGGTGACATATAAAGGCAATGTAATAATAATAATGATGATGATAATAATAATAATAATAATAATAATAAATTGTTGAAGGAATATATTGAAAATAAAATTGATGAACACATAAAAAGACAATTAGTGATACAAAAAGAAACTTCCACAGAAGTGGAAACTCTAATCTTTTAGAGTTATTTGAGAGTGCAAATAAACATGTGGACATGGGAGATATTTGATAGAGATTGTTTACTCAGGCTTTCAATAGGCTTTTGACAAAGTCCCTCACCAAAGATGCTTCAGCAAACTTGCCCTTCATGGAAGAACAGGGTCTGCTTTTGGACCCATAACTGGTTAAAGAACAGAAAGCAGAGAACAGTAATTAATTGCAAATTCTCCTCATAGAGGGGGTTTAAAAGTGGATTTGTATTGGGACCAATACTTTCAAATTATCTGGAATAAGAGGCGAGCAGAGAAGCGGGCAAGCTCACTTAGACAAAATTATTTAGGGTGGACAAAACATTACATAGCAGATTGTGAGGCACTCCAAAAGGATCAGTGCCAGCATGAGTAATGTGTGCTGCAAGAAAGGCAAATTCTATGTTGGGCATAATTAGGAAACAATTAGAAATTAAAGCTGTTAATATCATATTGCTCTTAATCAAACCTAGTGGGTGACCACAAGATAGAAGGCAGTTCTGGTCAACATAGAATGCACCTAAAAAAGACAGTGTGGAGTTGGAAAAAGCACAACAAAGGGCAACTACTGTGAAGAAGAGGCTGGACCATCTCCCCTACAAGGAAAAGTTGCAACATCTGGAAATAAGAGGAGACATGATAGAGGGGTATGAATATGCATATAGGAAGAATGTGGAGAGGGAGACATCTTTCTTCCTTTCTCATAACCCTAGAATTCCATGAAACTGATTGGTGGGAAGTTCAGGACAGATAACGGGGGTACTTCCTCACACAGCATAGTTAAACAATGGGTTTCATTTCCACCAGTTGTGGTAATGGCCACCAGTCTGGATAATCTTAAAGGGGGATTGAACAAATTCATAGAGGAGAAGGCTACCAATGGGTGCTAGTCCTGATAGCTCCATGCTACCTCCAGTAACAGGGGCAGTGCGTCTCTGCACACCAGTTGCTGGGGGACTTGGGTGCACTCATGTCCTGTTTGTGGTTTTCCATGGGCAGCTGGCTGGTCACTGTGCCAGCCCATGCTGAGCTAGAAGGATCCTTGCTCTGATGCAGCATGGTTCTTCTTATGGATAATGTATGGTCTGTGTGGCTAGCTATACTATGTAGGAAGTCAACAGCATGAGGCAACCATTGCACACAGATTATTTCAGCCTGCTTCTGGAGGACTAGAGTAATGGAAAAGAAGCACAGTCCTAAGTCAATGAGATGGCTACCATCATTATCCCACCAACAAATGGGGTTCTTATGGATATGTCAAGCAATGAGATCCATGCAGAAAGACTAAAACAAAGGCATTTGTCACTAACTAGGTAATGTCTTGAGCATTACAAAAATACATAGTCTAAATTAGACTTTGTAAATGCAAGAAGGAACTATGTATTTCAACAATTATTGCTTTTTTGTTTTGTTTGCACTTACCAACCTCCACAACACTAGAACAGTTGGGATCTGTGAAGCCGTCGGGACACTCGCAGGTATAGAAGTCATCACCCAACACTGACAAACAGATGCCTCCATTTTCACAGGGGTTGGAGTCACACACATCCCCTGAGCATTAAAGAAAGAAATGGAATTATAATCATTTGAATATATAATTCTAAAAATCATGGTGAACAGTGCTGTAAATGTAGGTTCTTTTTCAGTGAAGACTACACCAGTTCATTTGCCATTTTAACAACAAAAACAACAAAAATAGTATGTTCTACAGTGTTCTGCTGACACGTTTCTGTTAAAATCATCTTCAAAAAAAGCCATGTTCCCTTCAATGTTTATAGTTTAGGAAGATGCATTTTATGGGGAAAATATTTATGATGATTATTTTTTCTAGGCCACTAAGCAAGTAACATCCATTGAATGCTAGTGCTGAAACTTAGAATAATACTGGCTTAGGATAAGGAGGATTGATGGGGGATTATTGTTGAACACATCTAATAGTTAACATGAGAAGCTTCTACAGAAGGGAGAAAAATTATGTGCTCCCAATAAAGTATCTGCAACAATGAAGTATCATAATAATATTTTAGACAGCCCTAAAGGGAAAAAAGAGCTTTCCAGATTTTTTTTAAAGGGGGAGAAAATACTGATTTTACTCTTGTTTCAGCAAGCTTCCTTCCAGATGTTCCTGTCTTTTTTTTCCCTTTCCCCCTTCTATTTCATTCTCCTAAGAATGTTTATACAGGTTGTCATCTATTCTCCCCAAATGTTTTCAGTTAGAAAACCAGAGCAGATTCTCCTAGTTTGCACCTCTGAAAATTCACACATACATTGTCTGATGTAAAGGAAGCTTCTATGACCAATTAATGTGCCCTTCTCGGAAATATAACCTCCGGTCACATGTTAGGCATGTGTCTGGAGAGCCATGAGAGTAATAAGAAGCAGAAGTTGCTCCCAGCCTCATCTCTGATGTTAAGCACACTGTCTGAGACCTTTGCACAGAATACATGTATGTGTATTACCACTGATCTAAGACCTGGATACATGTGCAGTAGGGCAGGGTGTGCTGATTGTGAGGAAAGATACATGCACACAGCTGCTTGTCTGTGTGTTTTTCCCGCAGACACCTACATGAAAGTGGACATCTATAGCTGAGAGCAAGCAGTGTGCTTCACCTGTCATTACTTGTGTGACGTAAGACTTCCCGTCATGGAAGTATTGTGCAATACAGGAAGTATTGTGCAGTATTGTGCCAGACTCCTTCCCACATGGAGTTGGGAGGGGGAGAGAGACACACACAGAACAGCTGGGTGTTTTCCCGGCAACCATCTCCAAGTTTTAAAAGGGAATCCCTACCTAAGTCTACATTTCCAGGCTTTCCATGCTATCATGTGTGCTGGATCTTTTGTGTTAGATCTTTCATTTGCTTCAAGAATGACAAACAGGTAGATTTAGTTACAAAGAGTCAGAGCCCAAACTTTATTGCAATTAAGGGAAGGGTTATCCTTCTCTCATGTCACGTCACACCTACATTTCCCTCTCCACTCCCTCTTGCTGGAGTTACAGGCTATTCTCCTCAAGATCCGCCTAAAACATACCAAAACATACATTGCATATGCATTAAAATGAAGCACTTAGCTATTCAGGGTGTGCCTCCTACTATTCATCAGCTAGTTGAGCATGCTTACTCATAACTATAGTCACTAGTTTACTCTTTTCTCACTCAACCTTGCCCTATGGCCCTCTGTCCCATAAAACTGCTGAAGGATAAGCAGCACACTTTCCTTCAAGCCATCATTATCTCTTCTGCAATGCTGCCTGGGATGAAAATACCAGGTTCAATAAATTTGTTAATTTATTAGTTTAAGGTATTTTAAGGTAGCTCTTCTGCACACCAGGGCTCACAATGTGATATATAATGTATATTTTTTAAAAAAGATACAACAAAGTCATAACAAAATAAAGGCAGAACAAGACTAGGAATTTAGAACAGGCCTGGCAATTTTAAATTCCATCAGTACCCATTGAGGATCTAAGAAAACTAAGCCATTTTTATAGCATACGTATGTCCCTTGGGAGCAAGTTCCACAGTCAGGGTGCTTCTACAGAAAAGGCCCTGTCTTGTCTGTCCACCAATTTAATGGTAGGTTTTTAAGCAGAGTCCCTGATGAATATTGCAGCTTATGAAATGCTCATATAAGCGAAAGGTTCTTTTACTCATCCTGGCTCCAAACCAGGGCTTTAAGGAAAAATCAATAACTTGCATTGGGCTCAGAAATATATTGGAACAGAGCATAATTAGTCCCAGACTGGAAATATGCGGTCTCTAAAGCACACAACAGAATTCTGCATTCTGCCCAAGCTGATGTTTCTGAATAATTTTCAAGGGCTTTTCAATGTGGTACGGTAATTTGAATGACAGGCAATTAAAGCTTGGACAGTTTGGCCAGATCTGTCTTCCTCTGGAATGGGTGTAATTGGCCTCCCAGCTGAAACTTGGCAAAAGCACTCCTAGCTATAGCACTGCAAGCTGCAAACACAGCTTTTTGGAGGCAGCTTATCACTTTCCCAGGATAGGCTGCACCCCAGTGCTGGGCTGGCTTGTCAACTGATGAATGGCATCTCCATCTTGTCTGTATTGAGCTTCAGTTTTCTCCTCAAATTCAACTCTTCACTGTGTCTTTTGCATCCTCCTTTGCATCAGTTGGGACTCACTAGCATTGGGATGATGCCCAGCCATCCTGGTCCAATTGTCTAAAATGCCATAATCAGCTACTGGGAGGACATAAATCAAGGGCCAAGATAGAGAAGAAGTGAATATCAAGAGGGAACTGAGGTTAGGTACTGCAAATTTGTCATCAAAATACAATGTTCAAACAAGTGGGAACTTAGAAAGAGAAGTTTCAAAGAGCCACACAAGCAGAAGCCGCAACACATTGTTCCTGGTGCCACATCTCCCTTTAGGCAAAGCTTTTAAGCTGGCTTGGCTGAATTACACCCTTCCCCCACAGCTGCTGGTAGCCTGACATTGCTTGCCATGCCCTGCTCCTGAGTAACACTCTTAATTCGACTGGGCCTTATTTACTGGCAGGCATGCCTTCTCTGAGAAAGCAGCTGAACTTCCAGCAGGAAATGGCTAGGAGAAGATTCCTCTTCTGGTGCTGACTGCAAGCTTTCCAGCTGCAGAAGGGTACTCTTAAGCTCCCAGAAGGCTGCTATGATCCATGCTATTACATGCAGCCAAGAGGTCTATCAGAACCAATGCAGAGGTAGTCCCACTGCCCACTTCTTGGCATCTGCTTTCTATCCTCAGTCCAGGAGTGAACCCAGCCTGCAAGAAATGTAAATAATTAGCTTTGCTCACAATAGACCACCTACTTCAGTTTTTATTCTTTCTTTATCTAAATTGCTCATTTTAATCAATTTGTCACTTGTTCCCACAAAGGGGAAAAGTAAAGCAGAAGGTATAACAAAAGGTATAGGGTATACATGCACAATTATTCCTGATTTTTATTTTTTCACATTATAGAAAAATACTCAGAAAAATATGCAATTATTACGTCATGTGTATTTACTTTACACATTCTAATGAGGGGGGAGGTGTGTGCCAAACTGGCCTGAATTAACTAGATCAGTGGTAGAACACATGCCCTTCATGCAGAAGATCCGAGGCTGCCTTCTGGCTTGAAAGAGCATAGGTAACTGGAAAGACTACTGAAGAAATATTAGACAGCTGTTGCCGGTCAGGAAGGATAGACAATAAAGGTCAGCTTGCATGACCATCCCAGCCCTCCGTGGCTTATTTAGGGCATGCTATACTGCAATGTTTATGCAAACCCAAGGTAGCCATTGGTTATGCTTGAGGAACCAATTCTCTGCCATGTTCTAAGGCAGCTTCCTACAATGATGGCTACTCTCTAAGCAGAGATAATGTTCAGCAGTAAAGAAAGCTATGCTTAGGAAATGTGTCACAACTCCTACTAAAGTACATTCCTGATCTATGACAAGACAGCATGGCAATATCTTCCTGACAGTTCTTCCACAGTATAGAATCCTCTTCTTCTGAAAGCCACCAGCAATAAAACACTGAGGATTTTTGTGAAGTATTCTACTATTTCTGGTAATGCAGAATAAATAGGAAGATTGGGCAAGTGCTTACTATTTCAGTAAGTATTGGAGGGAAGAGTCAAATTGTTCTTCTCCACCAGAGAGATGGGTCATCCAAAGACACTGAATGGTGGAGACGCAGGCCAGATGGGGGGGAAATGTTTTTTTCACACAGCACACAGTTAGGTAGCATTTGCTGTGTAGTGATGGCCACTAACTCAGGTGCCTTTAAATGGAGGATATTAATGGAAGATATAGCTTATCAGTGGTAGCCAATCATGATGGCTCTGTAATACCTTCAGTATCTCTGCAGGCTGCTTGCTGGGGAGCATAGGTGGGGAGAGACTACTGCACACATCCCCAGCTTCTGGGTCGTTCTAAGGCATCTGGTTAGAATGGTGGATTAAACAGACCTTTCGTCTGATTCAGCACGACCCTTTTCGTATTCTTACGTTATATAAAATGTTATAACCTGTCAACAGTGGTGAGCTACTTTCAAATTCCTTGCTAAGGAAAAAAAAAAAAAACCCTGTGTCCTGAATATGACATACCAGTATGGCAGAATTTCAATAAAAGCATTTCTGGTTGCAGTATTACAAATTGGACAGCTGTCAAGCAGAGCTTCTTATTCCCAAGAAAACATCTATCTGAACAGCCTCATGTTGACTTCACTAGAGATTGATTAAGCACTTGGGTGTCAGGTGTCAGCCTGATTTCAGATTGTCTGCCAAGTTACTTGCCTCTAATGCTCTTCTCTATCTTAACTATAGGTTTCATAATACCAGAAAGGGATGAGAATAACTCTTACGTTTTGCTAACTTTTCTCCTTTCTCATGTGTGCATATGACATAAGGGACTAATATATACATACATACATACATACATACATACATATATAGTTATAGAGTTACATTTTCTGTGGATGCAAGAGTGCTGGAGACTTAAGCCGTCTCTAATAACTATTCTGTTTATTTTCCAATGTACAAGCAGAGCTTAGCGAAAGCAATTTGACTCCCACAGAAAACAGCAAAAGTAGATTGCCAAAGCAACAGTGTGAATTTCCACAGCCTCTAAGTGTTTTGCTTCCAGTCCTGCTAATTCACAGCTTTTCTGCTGCTTTCTCAGTCCCAGTGGCCTTCTTTTCTCCCTTGCAGTGCATGGGACTATGGTCATACTCCTGCAAGTAAATTGCCTATTGGTCATTAGTTCCCATG